AACCCAAGTAAGACAGGTGAAGTCAACATCTATTCCTAATACAACAGATTGGTCCAAGTCAACCTTACTTTAATTAAAAAAGATAATGAGGTTTCACATAAAGGCTTGTGTACTTTTATATAATTTCTTTAAGGCTAGGTGTACATGTTTCAGATGGATTGTTATAGGTAATTCTAATTAGGTAAGTATGTTATAATGATATCTATTTTACAAATTCTATGAAATATTAGTTTTATCTCTAATAATAAAAACTATATAATAACACTATAATAAATATTGTATTATAATTAATAAATATTAATTAACTATAATTAAATTAATTGTTTTATCATTTTAGAATGTCATAAGGCACCTAAGAAATATAAAGCATCTGAAGCATGATCTAGGGTTTTTTGTCAGGGTCTTTGTAATACTAAACAACTATTATTTTAAATATCTAAACAACTATTAGTTAAAATAAAATACTATAAGAAATCTACTAATAAAATAAATATTAACTTATTAAATAGATGATTAAAACTAATAAAATAATCTATAAACTATGTAAAAATATTAAGAAAAATATAAAATATAATATAAAGCTAAAAATAAATATATAATAATATAAAAAAAAAAGTAAATTCTATTACAGTATGATATCTAATGTAAAACCTTAAAGTGAACTACTTAAATAGGTGACCAAAAGTTGTATATGTGCTAGTTATACTCTTATCTTATATAAAATAGTTGTAATAACTAACTCCAATAAAAGTCAATAAAATATTACCACAAAGTATGACCTTAAAAAAAAAAAAAAAAATTATTAAATAATTTTCTAATAGTTACAAAATATTTAAATGATACATTATATAATACTAAGAAGTTATAAACCATTCTTTAGATTCATGGTTATTTTACAGATGGTATGCAAATCACTCAGAAAATTGAGTCAATTAATTCTCACATATGTCAAAAAGTTGATTGATCAACCTTCTTATATAATTTACTAATTAGTTTTAATAATCTTATTAAGCAAGACAAGCATATTATAAAAATTTGAGAGACAGTGCAATGCTTCCCGAGCTTAAAAGCTAGTAAACTTCCTAAAAACCTATATTTGCGTCACATTATTGTCCAATAAAAATGCATTCGAGAAATACAGGCACTATTGCTGCAAGTGGTGGCGTTATCCATGTGATCCGTAAAATCGGTGATCCAATCACTTCACCGATAGAAATGTTTACCGACAATTAATTCACAGACAAATTCATTTCGCAATTTATTTTATCGACAGCTCTTTTCACTGACAAGGTAATTCTGGTCATTGTCGTCAGGGTCCGGCATGTGCCGGCCCGTTGGGCTTTTTTTGAAAGTTAACTTGGGCCATGTCTCATAATGCTAGTCATATGATAATTTATCATGTGATTGGCACTTTTAGAACGTGGCCAAAATTAACTTTTGAAAAACGCCTAACTGACCAGCCCTAGTTACGATCCGTTAAAAAAGTTGATTTGTCAAATCTGGATGGAAATACCATCCACTATTTGTTTATTCGGACCAAAAAGCGTTTATATAACTTTAACCAATCAACATCAGTCACGAAAGCAAAATCAGATATAACGTGAAATTGGCATTTACCTTAAATTTGCCTATCGCTATGAAACCACTTTCCGTGTATTAATAAGAAAAACCTGACATATACGATAGATTTGACTTTATTGCTACCTAATACATTATTCTGAATGGTTATACATACCGATACTATACAGAAAATCATGAAGAACATTACAAATGCGATCCGATCACATTGGCCAATCAAAAGGGCTTCCATAATGATGATCATGCCAACCAATTATACCATGGCAAATTTTTATATCAAACTATAGTGAAAAATAAACTTGAACGTTAAAGTATTTTAATCTCTTTATAATAATAAAAATGGTGTGTATACTTAAAGCTTTTACAAGTTCTATATGCTTTAGATTATTCCAAATGACATTTTTTCCTCCCTCAATCAGTCGACGGTTCATAGCCAGACTGCTCTCGAAACTTTTCACGAGGACATGGTGGTAGGTAATTTGTATCTATTGCTACAATCTACAAGAATATTCAACTCTTCAACTGATCCGTTTAACATTTAGCATGATGCACAACTCGATTATTATGGGAAGAGATTAGCAACTTGCTCTTCTGACCGTTCTATTAAAATATTCGAAATTGAAGGAGAAAATCGACAGGAAATTGTGACATTGAAAGGGTAAATTGTGTAGATTAATACATTTTGAGATTAATCAATTAAATACTCTTTGAATATCAGAATTTTATGTTTATTTCTTTTAGGCACGATGGTCCTGTGTGGCAAGTCGCTTGGGCTCATCCGAAATTTGGAAGCATATTAGCCTCATGTTCATATGATAGTAAAGTTATTATTTGGAAAGAACAGAAGGGTTCTTGGAAAAAAATCAAGGAATATACTGGACATACAGCTTCTGGTATGATAAGATTAGTACAGGTTGGAGACGTGAGATAAAATTTTCATGTCAAGAAACGGGTGGCTTGTTATGATTTACATTGACTTGCTCGACATTTAGTGAATTCTGTGTCTTGGGCACCTCACGAACTTGGTCCAATCCTAGCTTGTGCTTCTTCTGATGGAAAAATATCAGTGCTCACATTCAAAGGTGCGTACTATTATAGTTTTTAATTGACCACCTTTTCAATATATAGCTAAATGTGTTTATTATTTTAAAAGACGATGGCTCATGGGACGCACGTACTTTTGAAGCACACACTATTGGCGCTAATTCAGTCAGCTGGGCACCAGCGACAATACCAGGAGCGTTAGTTCAAATTACTGGTGGTGCACCTAACGTGAATGTTACCAAAAGATTTGCATCAGCAGGCTGTGATAATTGTATAAAAATCTGGACTTATAGGTTTCATTACATTCAATTATTTATTGTCGCAAATGATGCTGAGATAGTATAATGCTTTAAATGTATAAACTTTATTAAAACCTTTTTTAATTAACAATTCTAGCCTTAAAAAAAAAAAATTTAACAAAAAATTTAAAATTTCTTATTAAAATGGGATCAAGTTTCAGCATTATCATTTTAGCGTCATCCGCGGCATTTTTAATGTTAAATAAGATGGTTCGTTATTTATTTATTTATTTATTTTCTCATTTGCAATAGAGAAGACACCAATGAATGGAAAGAAGAGGACATTTTAGAAGGACACACAGATTGGGTACGTGATGTCGCGTGGGCTCCGAATGTCGGTCTACCAAAAAGCTATTTGGCTAGTTGCTCTCAGGTGAGACAGTGGTTGTCTTTTATGGTTAAAAACGTTAGAAAACACAACCTCAATATTTAATAATCTGATTTTAAATAGGACAAGACTGTCTATATTTGGACCCAAGACACTCCAACTTCTTCATGGAATAAAAAGCCCCTTCGTAATGATAAGTTCCTTGATGTTGTATGGCGAGTTAGTTGGTCTCTGTCCGGCAATGTGCTTGCAGTTGCCTGTGGAGACAATAAAGTCACTTTGTGGAAAGAAAATTTGAAAGGTGAATGGGAATTATTGAGCGAATTGGCTGAACAATGAGATATGAAATTTTTTGAGAGTATTGTTAAAGTAATCACCTAGTCATTATATATAGATTGCAAAGGATTAATTAATAATACTCAATATGTATGTGTACAAGCGGGAATAGATTATAATTTTCTTATAATTTCTTATAAATTAAATAAAGGAATTAATTTTAACCATAATTTTAATAAATAATAGCCAAATTTGCAATTGAAATATGAACTTTATATGTAGTATAATGGCAAAATTTTTAGCCTTTTAACGTTGTAGCAATTTTATCAGCTTATTTGAACCACAACATGGATCTGAGCCGTCTCAAGCCGACATAGCCATGGTCTAAATCGCTATCAGCGGCAATTTGGTCTGCATTATAACTACATTCATAAATCCTGGAACGGCTGAATAATTTTCTTATGATTGAATCGATGCCGGAATTAGTTATCGACATCAGCCGAAATCAGGAACTTGTCGATTTCATTCACTAGACAAATTTCTGGTTCGGTCAGCATCAGCGACTTATTGATAAGATTTTACCAAAATTAGCCAATTATTTTATTTGGGACAGCCTTCCCTATACATAAGTCTCGCTATTCGATTGACAAACGACATGGTATGAGGATTTTTCCACCCTTCACTCACTGCATTAATGAGCTAATCTTTTTGCAATTTAGTCTCTCCGTGCAATTCCTTCGAATAACCCTCCCACTACCAAAACGGTAGCAGCTACAGCAAACTCTTATGGCGTTCACGATACATTCCGTTATGGACCTAAATCTATAGAGGCTGAAATTTCGCCAACACATCCTCTTGAAAACCGTCTCAAACAAGTTTGAATTGTTATTATTTTAAAAATTTATAGTTAAACGGATAGATCAAGCCTTTGACCTATGTTAACATTTAATAGTGGGAAGAGACTCAAACAAATCTAAAACTTACGATGCAAAGAAGAATCTATGGAATTCATGCACCTATAAGACATCTTATGGAACGAAGTATTGTGTCCAGGGTATGTCATTTCTTCAGTATATATATATATTATTATCCACATCGTGCCTTGAGTAATTTGCTTCTTTTTAGGTACAACGTTTACCGGGTTTACCATCATCTAATTTTGGATTAGAAATTTTGATGGGCAAAGATGAAACGATTGAGTTTGAAGATTTCTTGGATGGTATGCATTCTTTTACTCATTTATTATATTATTATTATTATTATTATTATTTAACAGTTCTTATTGCAAATAACAGATCCAGAGTTATCAACCGAGTTGACAGATTTGCATTCAGCAATGGAACATAAACTGGGCATCAAATGAAAATTATTAACAAGATATTTTATAAACTTTTCAATGGTTATTTTTATAAATAATCTTTATGTATTAAGAAATATCCTGATAACGATAAATAGATCTATTGATTTTTAAACATTCATTTGCAGTCAACAATGAATTTGCGAAACTGTTCATATGCTGTGTCTAAATCATCATTTACAATAACTATATCATGAGAGTCTTCTTCCGCAGCGTAAGCCAATTCTTCTTTCGCAGCTTTAAGGCGTGCTTGTATCGCATCTTCAGATTCAGTGCCGCGATTACGTAAACGTTCTTCGAGGACTTGGAGTGATGGTGGTGCGACGAATAGGAAACGTGCATTAAGATCTGTTTTTTTTACAGATTTAACACCCTATTAAAATATAAATACGGAGTTAGTAAGTGGATGAAGCAACTATTTTAGAAATACAATAAAATTGATTACCTGCAATTCGATGTCGAGAATGCAACATTTTCCTTCATTTGCGACAGCATGCACAGCAGCGATGCTTGTCCCATATAAATTAGTCGAAAATTCAGTGTATTCTATAAATTTATTTTGAGCGATAAGTCTTTCAAATTCTTCACGTGATACAAAGTGATAGTGGACACCATTTTGTTCATTAGGACGAGGTAAGCGTGTGGTATCTGGCGGTATAAACAAAGATGTTATTATAACAAACAAGAGCGCAGATATCTTCTCCAGAATTAACTCACGTGATACGCTAAATCCGAATCCATTCGGATAGTCTTGAAAAAGACGTTTTAACAGCGTAGATTTACCACTTCCTGATTGTAATATTAACAGTTATTATTGATTGCACAAACCGAGTAACCTTATGTTTACGAGATTAAACAGATTTAATAATATACCGGATGGACCAGAAACCACTACAGGCCGAAGTTGTTCTATTTATAATAGGCAAAAGAATTATTGCACAATGTGGCTTTATTACTTGAATTATTGTTCATTCACATTACCAGCCGAGGCCATTTGCACTAATTTAGCGATTTGTTGGAAAAATGTCTTAATATTGAAAATGGTTTAATGGTCGTTTTAAATAGTTTTATTATTACGTGTAATACAAATGAAAGCTTATCGTTATCTTTTTGGCACTAATTTCTAAATTTTTATATCGGGGCTAAAGATTTGCCGCACGCATATTTCTGGACGTGTGGATTAAGTCAGCTGACACAGCGTGTACGTACAACGTACGCTGGGGTCCTGCATATACTAATTAATCAAAATCATGTGAGGTACAATAATAATAATAGTATAGCTAGATTTTATGCATAAAATGGGATCGGCGAAATTGAAGCATATTTATTAGCAAAAATTATGCTCAAAAAAATTGGTTCACCTCATGTATTAACTATTTTCTTCTAGCAATTTTAGTAAAAAAGACAAACATCCCGATGCAACAAAAGAAGTTACAGTTTTAAAATTTTAATTAATTAAGCATTTTAAAACTTTTCCTTAATGGGAATTTTACTTTTGTTATTATGCCGTGTGTATTTTAGTAAAAAAAATGGCTTGTAATGAATTGGCCTTTGTTCTTAAAAATTTAAAATTGTAATTTTAAAGAAATAGCTTTCTTTAAAATATATATTAAATTTTATTGTGGATTTTTAAGTTAGTTCTTGTGCTGAAGCTTTTTAAGACTTCACTTTTGTTGTTTTTACATTTTAATTAAAAAAAAAGTGTTTGTGATAAATTGATTTTAGCTAAAATAATAATTTTGAGAAAATGTTTTCATCACATTAAATATCAAGTTTTATAGTGGGTTTCAGGTTGGTTTTGTTTTTTAATGCACTGCTTTTGTTAAAAAGATGTATGTTTGTTTCAATTTGTCTTTTGTAAATAAAGATTTAAAAACATTAAACAATGTATGTTTATTTTAATTAATTTTTATAAATACATTTTATAAGCATGGTTTTGAAAAAATACTTCTTGTGTATCTTATAATTTAATACCAAAGCTTAATGCTTTATACTTCAAAACATAAATTAAAATTAAAGGATGTATATAAATCACTTGCTGAAAAACATAAGTTAAATAAGCATTAAACAATCATTGATAAAATAACTAATTACAGTCAATCCTGGCTATAGTCATCCTAGCTATAATCACAACCTTAATAAAGTTACAAAAATTTTTAGACACATTTTTTTTTAGTTTAATTTCTCTATTTATAATCACATTAATATGATAATCACTATCATATGATTTTTTAAAAACTATATAATAATAAGTATATATAATTTTTCCTAATTATAATCACAAATAATATGGGTAGTAGCTAGGCAAATTAATATTTTTTTAAAAAAATCAATACTTTAACTATTTATAATAATAGTTAAATTTTAAACTTTCTTTTAATTACAGTATTAAATTCTTTAAATAACTTTAAAATTAAGTACTACAAAGAGAAA